TGAATTATCTTGTATCATCCAGTTGCAATTGAGTATGAGTTAACCTCAATTCAAATCCCCAGCAAGCCCCTGTGGAAATCTGTGAAGTCATTCTTGAGAAATGTTTTAAAGAACAAGTTAGACAGCAAGTCATCCACCGCCAATGTTTAATGAACTTATTAACAGAATCAATACAACTTAAAAATTAGATATTGGTAGATCCAATGCTTCAGAATGTTATAAACAGCATCATCCAGCAGTTTTAATAACACAATTAACGAATAGGTAAGTAACAGATTGAACTGATATCCTCTCTCAATCAGTCTAACAGTAGCAGAAAACATTCTAAATTATAAATTAGATTAGTCTTTGAGATTTGAGCAGATTGGGGAGATTGGTTTAGTTACAACTATTCAGTAATCTAATGAATCCATTCTGCAATCTCAATCTAATACTGTTTTAAGTACTGTTGATACTAATACAGTAAGTTTGTGCTGGGAATTTTGCCTGGAACAGGGCACAATGAATGGACTGTACTTTTGATCCATGGCTCGATTCTCTTCCCCATTGATTGTAAATTAAGGCAAAGCTTTTGGGCCTTTTCTTTCCACCCGTTACCTGTTTTTTCCCCCTTGAGTATTTATGTCAATTCCTATAACTAATTTTGACATTCCTGTTTGTGATTTTTACAGTCTGTGATTCCAGGTGATATCTAATTGTGGGGTGATCTTTCTTGTGTAAAACTTATTGTTAAAATCAGTAATTGCTGGATACAAATGATTGGTTCCCATTCCACAATTTTTAAAGTATGATGACAACAGTCAATCATAGAATCCCTACAGTGCAGATAGAGACCATTCAGCCCATCACGTCTGCACCACCCTGCAAAGAGCACCCCACCCAGACCCAGACCCCTCCCTACGCTATCCCTATAACCTTGCATTTACCATAGCTAAGCCACCTAACCTGCACATCTTTGGACTGTGGTAGGAAACCAGAGCACCCGGCAGAAACTCATGCAGACACGGAGAGAGCAGAGAGGGTATACAAACTCCACACAGACAGACAGTCACCCAGCGTGACATGCTAACCACTGTGCCACCATGCCACCCTTGCCATCGAAGCGTCACTATTTGTTATAACAGAGTGAGAACAGAATAAACAAACTCTACATGATGTGTGATGTAAAATAAAGCAGGATTTGATGTAATGTACGGTATGTCCATCAGTATCTGAAAATATGGTTCAATACAACAGAGTTACATCATGAGGACTCTGATACAGAACGTCAAACTGTCTTCTCTCTGTTTAAATGCTGATGATTCTGCCGTCTGTTTTGAACACAATCTGGTCCCAACATGGATCCTGTCCATTTATTACAGTGCACTTTACACTGGATCACTCGCTCTCCACAATTTGTCAGTCTTGGAGCAGCTGGGTCAATCTACTGGTGTGTCAATCCAGCTGGTTAGAAATTCACCTTTGATGTGCAAATGACAGTAAGCTGTAATGGGAATTGTGCATTGAACACGCTGTTTCAACAAATGTTGTTTACTTAGGGGAGGTAGAAATGTATTGATACCATTAGCCCAATTCGTGGCTGCACAATCCACAGGAACCTCCCAAAGAGGAGAATTCCCCTGGGTCACCATGTACACTGGCTTTCTGTCCCTATGAGGCTATGGAACCTTTCACAGATAGGCAGACACTGTCCCCATCCTGAACTCACAGAGGTTCACCTCTCAGCAGGGTCAATGGGCACTGTTATTGAGTGCCAGCCTTAGGTTAATTTACCTCCAAACCTAGGAAAACTGAGTGTATTTGTCAATGACACCCTGCAGCCCTGACTGCAACCACCCTCGGTCCTTCCTGTCTGTATCTGTCCCCACTGACGAACATTGAGGTCCGGCTAGCCTGCAGAAACAGCGCTGTGGGGCCAGGAACCTGAGTTTCGTGACCCTTTGACTGGGCCCCTCACTCTCAACAGGAGGTCACCCTCGCTCAGCTCCAGCTGGAGACTGGCAAACAGCCAACTGGACTTCAATCCGCAGCATGGTTGCTTAAAACGAAGGGATTGAAAATCAGGCGAAAGTGTTCACAAAATGGAAACAGTGATGTTTCAAAGAAATTTTAAAGATGAGCAATCAACTTAAGGTCAGTCTGAATGGGGGCATCAGCAGCAGCAGCAACAGAGAGAAGGAAAGAGATCCTGGGGATGAACAGTAGCAGCAGCAGTAAGATAAATAACTGAGGAGCAGGTCAGTTATGGCGATCCTGGGAGTGAACAGCAGGGTAAATATCTGAGGAGTGGGGTCAGTCAGAGTGAATCTGGGGGTGAACGACAGCAGGATAAATATATGAGTGGGGTCAATCAGAGTGACCCTTTGTGGTGGACTGCAGGATAAATACGTGAGAAGCATGAAGATGGATGAGGTCTTGCAAAGGGAGTTCAGGGAGTTCGGGAGGAAGTTGAAAAGCAAGACCTCCAGGGTTGTAATCTTGACATTACCTGTGCCATGTGCCAGTGAGGTTAGGAATAGGGAGATAGAACAGTTAAATACATGGCTAAAGGGCTGGTGTAGCAAGCAGGGTTTCAGGTTTATGATTCATTGGGATGTCTTTCGGAGCAGGAAAGATGAGTTGCACCTAGACTGGAGGGGCACCAATATTCTGGCAAGGAGAGTTGCTTGTGCCATGTGAAAGGACGGAAACTAGTGTTGCAGGGGAGGGGGGAGTGTGAACCAGAGGCAGTAGGTCAACAAGTAAAATGGCCAAGGAGAAGTGAGACACTAAGGCCAGTAAAGCTAAGAGGAAGAACAGACAAGGAGAGGTTACTGAACATGGTAGGATTGGCAGTCTGAAGTGCATTTGTTTCAATGCGAAGACTATGACAGATAAGGCAAATGAACTTGGAGCTTGGATTAACCATGATGTTGTAGCTATTACAGAGACTTGGTTGAGAGAGGGACAAGACTGGCATCTTAATGTTCTGGGATTTAGAGATTTCAGGCAAGATAGAGAGACATAAAAGGTGGGGGTGGATAGTTGCGTTACTGATAAGGAAGAATATCACAGCTGCCCTGAACAAGGGTATCTTGGAGGGCTCATCCAACCAGGCTGTATGAGTAGGAGGTCAGGAACAGGAATGGTACAAATCACTTCGATGGGATTGTACTACATGCCGTCTAATGGCCAGCAGGTGATAGAGGAATGGATTATGGAAAAATGTAAAAATAACGAATTTGTTCTGGTGGGTGATTTTAACTTCCCCTATATTGGCTGGGACTCGCTTAGTGCCAAGGGTTTGGATGGTGGTAGAATTTGTTAGGTGTCTTCAATAAGGTTTTTTAAAACAATATGTAAATAGTTCAACTAGGGAAAGGGGCAATACTAGATGTGGTATTGGGGAATGAGCCTGGCAGGTGATCAAATTTTCAGTGGGGGAGCATTTCAGGAATATTGACCATAATTCTGCAAGTTTAAAATGCATCGAGATATAGATAATGTCCAGGCTTGGTCTGACAAGTGGCAATTAACATTCACGCCACATGCATGCCAGGCAATGACCATCTCCAATAAGAGACAATCTAACCACTGCCTTTTTTATATTCAGTGATGTTACCCTCACTGAATCCTCCACTATCAGCATCCTGGGGTTTACTATTGACCAGAAACTCAACTGGCCTTGCCACATAACCACAGTGGCAGTAAGAGCAGGTCAGAGGCTAGGAATACTGCAGTGAGTAACTCATCTCCTGACTCCCCAAAACCTGTCCACCCCACCTATAGGGCACAACTCAGCCTGCACCATTGTGAAGGTGGGACTTGGGACTCTGAGATCTGGGCTTTTATTTTCTTGCTTACCTTTTGGCTCTGTTAAAATATTTTAATTCTGGTTTTGTAACCAAGTGGGCACCAGTGAATGGTGACTTGCACTTTTCGCTGTACTTAGATATTCCTATACTTAGTACATGTGGCAAATAAATAAATAAATAAATTGGAAGGAGTGTCATAATACTCCCCACTTAGCTGGATGAGTGCAGCTCCAACAACACTCAAGAAGCTTGACGCCATCCAGGGCAAAGCAGCCCACTTGATTGGCACTACATCCACAAGCATCCACTCCCTCCATCATTGGCGCTCAGTAGCAGCAGTGTGTGCTATCTCCAAGATGCACTTCAGAAACTCACCAAAGATCCTTAAATAAGTCCATGACCACTTCCATCTAGAAGGACAAGGGCAACAAATGCATGGGAACACACCGCCTTCAAGTTGCCCCCCAAGCTCCACACCATCCTGACTTGGAAAAACATCACATTCCTTCATTGTCGCTGGGTTAAAATCCAGGAACTCCCGCCCTAAAGCGTTGTGGTTCTACCTCCAACAGGTGGGCTACCTCCAGTGGTTTAAGATGGCAGCTCGCCACCATCTTCTTAAGGGGAACTGAAAATCAGCAATTAAAAACTGCTGGCCTGCCAGCGATGCCCATATCCTTTGAGTGCATAACAAAAAAATACAATAGCAATGTTTAAGAGGCATCTTCATAGATATGTGAATAGGCAGGGAATAGAGGGATTGGGCTGCCTTTAGGCAAAAGGCTTTTAGTTTAGAAAAACCGTCACATGTTGACACCGTCTTGGTGGACCAAGGGCCTGTTTCTGTGCTGTCCTGTCCTTGGTTCTTTATTCTAACCTTGACATGCATGTTGTTACATACATTCAAGACACGTGAGAATTGAACTTTCTGACCTATACGGAGGACCACCATAGTATCACACAAGAATTTATAAGTTGAAACATTCACACTTTCTCACTCAGTTCACGCCTTGCACGACAAAGTGAATTGATTGCAGTGCAGGAAACTGGGAAACGACAAAGACAATTTTAGCCTGGAGTGTGGCCAAAAGTGGGTTGTTGGTGGCGGGGGGGGGGGCGGTTGGTGGAAGCGGAGGTGGCGAGAGACAGAAAATTGCCCCAAAATATTCAGGTACTGACAGCAGTGATGATTATAAATGGCAATTTTCACACGCCCACACTCAGTCATTGTCTGCATCCCTGTAGTGACTCCAATTGTCTTTTTCCATTCGGACTGAACTGATTCCCTCGCAGCCTGAAACAGATTGAAGATTAAACAGGCTTTAGGGAGACTGAAGGAAAGTTTAAATCACAGGGAGATTGGAGTTAACATTTCAAGAACGATTACAGACATAAGCCAAATATCTAAAGAGTATTATTATTGGCCTTGGAAAGTTAAATCTGTCTGTCTTCACAAATGCTGCCAGACCTGCTGAGTTTCTTCAGCACTTTCCATCTTCATCCTATGATAAAAATGACTGACTCATGTTTATATTTTATTTGTTACATTGTAAGTCAAGGTTAGAAATCACATGAAACCAGGTTACAGTTACAGTTACACAAACTTTTGGAGTCTTACTCCTTCTTCAGGTGTTAGTGAGAGAGGTAGTATCAGACACAGAATTTATAAGTAAAAGATCAAAGGTTCACGCCACTGATGAGGATGTACTAAACAAACCGAAGATGCTGTTAAATCATTAATCAGTTAAAAGGTTTTAATTGATTAATATGTATCTGTAAATCCCCGAATTCCTTTAAAGTCACTGTACTGAGAGAACTAAAGGTTTTATCAGTGTGAAGAAGTTCAAAAAGCACAGTTTATAGACACAGACAGTCAGTCAGTCAGTCAGTGTGGTGTTTTATAAATTCCTGCTTTGGAAATTAGATCAGGGTGACTCCAAACCAAAATACAAACAGATTCTAAACAAGGCCTCACACCTAATATGTATTGTCTGACCTAAAATGTCACCTCTTCTTCACACTGATGAGGTCAGAAATCACACGACACCAGGTTATAGTGCAACAGGTTTATTTGAAAACACAAGCTTTCGGAGCCTCACACCTTCCTCAGGTGTTAGTGAGAGAGGTAGAAGACACGGAATTTATAAGTAAAAAATCAAAGTGTCACACCATGGGGATGAAGATGTATTAAACAAATCTAAGATGCTGTTAAATCTTTAATCAGTTACAAGATTTTAATTGATTAATATCTATATGTAAATCCCTGAAGTCCTTTAAAGTCACAGTCCTGAGAGAACTGAAGATTTTATCAGTGTGAAGAAGGTGTGTCATTTTAGGTCAGCCAAAGCAGGTTAGGTGTGAGGCCTTGTTGAGAATCTGTTTGTGTTTTAGTTTGGATTCAGACTGGTTTTATTTCTAAAGTAGGAATATACAAAATGCCACATTGACTGACTGTCTATAAATTGTGTGCTTTTTGAACAAAATACAATGTATCTGCAAGTACAAATTTACCCCGTAGATTCACGTGTGCGCGTGTGGGGGTGAGAGAGAGAGAGAGACAGACAGACAGAGTGTGTGAGAGAGGATCTGTGTGAGTGTGTATGTATGCACATGTGTGAGAGTGTATAGGGTAATGGGGTCACCCGTAGTGCGACATGAACCCAAGATCCTGGTTAAGGCCGTCCTCATGGTGACCAGACTTGGCTATCAGCCTCTGCTCGGCTACTCTACATTGTTGTGTTTCCTGAAGTCCACCTTGGAGGATGTTTACCCGAAGATCTGAGATCGAATGGCCTTGACCACTGAAGTGTTCCCCGACTGGGAGGGAACATCCCTGTCTGACAATTGTTGCGCAGTGTCCATTCATCCATTGTTGTAGTGTCTGTATGGATTCACCAATATACCATGCTTCGGGGCATCTTTGCCTGCAGCGTATGAGATAAACAACATTGGCCGAGTCACATGAGCATCTGCCGTGTACGTGGTGGGTGGTGTTCCCACATGTGATGGTAGTGTCCATGTCGACGATCTGACATGTCTTGCAGAGGTTGCCATGACAGGGTTGTGTGGTGTTGTGGTAGATGTTGTCCTGTAGGCTGGGTAGTTTGCTGTGGACAATGGTCTGTTGAAGGTTTAGCAGTTGTTTGAAGGTGAGAAGTGGAGCCGTGGGGAAGATCTTGGCGAGGTGTTCATTGTCATTGAAGGCTGCGAAGAACATGGTGTAGCTTCTCTGCTGGATGCACACACACGCAAGCACATGAATCTATGGGGTGAATTTGTATTTGCAGATATATTCCATTTTGTTCAAAAGGCACAGAATTTATAGACAGTCAAGCATTGTGGTGTTTTATAAATTCCTACTTTATTTATTTATCATTGACTCCAAATCAAAACGCAAATAGATTCTAAACAAGGCCTCACACCTAACATGCAGTGTCTGACCTGAAATGTCACCTCTTCTTTACACTGGCAAAACCTTTAGTTCTCTCAGGACAGTGACTTTAGAGGAATTCAGGGATTTACATATACGTATCAATCAACTAAAACCTTCTAACTGATTAAAGATTTAAACAGCATTTTAGATTTCTTTAATACATCCTCAACAGGGGTGTGACCCTTTGCTCTTTTACCTATAAATTCTGTGTCTGATACTACCGCTCTCACTAACACCTGAAGAGGGAGCGAAGCTCTGAAAGCTTGTGTTTTCAAATAAACCTATTTGGGCTATAAATTGGTGAGAGAAATAGTAGGAACTGCAGATGCTGGAGAATCTGAGATAACAAGGTGTAGAGCTGGATGAACACAGCAGGCCAAGCAGCATCAGAGGAGCAGGAAAGCTGACATTTCGGGCCCAGACCCTTCTGCAGAAATTGTGACTTCTGACCTTGTCCACCCTAGTCTAACATCAGCATCTCCACATCATTGTAAGTTAACTTAAATACTTACTCGAACCAGTTCAGAGTCTGGCAGGTCAGCAGGAGGTGGCGGAGTGTGGGGACAGATTGGTCTGTGAAGGAGTTTGATGCCAGGTTCAGATCCATCAGTGACTGGCTTGCAGTGAGAGTGGAGAGGAGATCCTCAGCAGAAGAATCTGTGAGGGCATTCCTTTTCAGACTGAGGATCAGAGACAGACAAATAACAGGAATCAAGGTTAAACCACATGGCTTTAAAGAACACTACTGATGAAAATGATTATGTGTTCTGTAAGGCATTCAGGAAACAACTTATATTTCCACGAAGAAAGAATATAACTGACACTGTAAATTAAACAAGCGTTTCAGTTAGATGAGTTTTAATTAGAACTGGGAGATAATGGTGATTTAACAGTGTTTAAGTGCCAATGAAAGGGCAGCATGAATAAAACAAAATGGAATTGCAACATTAATTTGCACAATAGAAGATGCAGTGCTGAAGCTGGAATGTGGAATACCAAGAGGTTAAAGGTTGGTTTGCACTTTTCTTGTCAGAGGTTTATTCTACTTCCACATTATTAAGTATTGTTCCCCTTACCTGTACATTATCTATCTGCACACACCCATTTATTCCTTAGTTATTAGATAATCATCACTGGTCCCTAGAGCCATGAGCCAAGAGTGTGGGAGTATCAAAGGGAAGAAATGAAGAGTTTTTGTCCATCGTATCATTCAGCCTCTCAGGGAAATGTTACATTTTCTATCATTAATTCATAGAAATTGAATTGTATATTTGTGAAGGAGGTTTTACTAGAACAAAGATTGCTGAAGAAACTCAGCAGGTCTGGCATCAATTGTGGAGAGACAAATAGAACTAGCATTTGTTTCAGATTTCCAGCATCTGCAGTACTTTATACCTTTATTTGAGATGTCATACTGGTAACAGTGGTGTGAAAATACATTCCCCGGTTCCATTGGATCTCAGGTTTTCCTGTCGGTTTCAAATCGATGAGTGCCTGAGAGGCCTGGAAGCAGAGTGGACGGTCACGATGGTGAGACGGACTTGGAAAGAAAGGATGAGAGACCAAATGGATGCACAAAGGACAGTCTCTGACAATAATAAAACACCACGCACATCTTTTTCACTGGTCACATTGAGTACATAGAACAGTACAGCACAGAAACAGGCCCTTTAACCTACCATGTCTGTGCTGACTGTGATGCTACTCTAAACTAATCCCATTTGCCTGCACATGGTCTGTATCCCTCTATTTCTGACCTACTCACGTGTCTGACTAAGTGTCTCTTAAACATTGCTATTCTCTATTTCTACCACCACCTTGGCAGCAAGTTCCAAGCACCCACCATCCTTCGTGTAAAAAATTGCACATCTCCTTTAAACATTTCCCTTCTCACCTTAAGCCATGCTCCCTAATATTTGACATTTCCACCCTGGGGAAGAGACGCTGCCTATCCACCTTATCCATGCCTTTAGTAATTTTATGGACTTAATTTGGATCAGGACCCTGTGATTTCCTCCCTTGGTAACCATAGCAACCGGGGAAATGACTCATTCGGATCTGGGGATTTGTCCACGATTAAGTCCACCAAAACCTCCAATTCCTTCTTGCTTCAAATTTCAATCTGCCCAAGAACTTCATGGTCCGTCTTCTCAATTCTGTAATGCATTCTCCTCCTCCCAAGTAAAGACAGATGTGACGTATTCATTTAACACTTTAACAATGTCCTCCAGCTTCACACATAGATCGTCCCATTGGTCTCTAATGGGCTAACATTTTACACTTTCCCCGGTCTGAAGGGCACATTGGAACGCACACTGCCCTCTAATCACTCTTCTCTCTCTCACAAATAAAGAATGGCTTTTACCAGGGGAATAGCTATCCACTTCTGAAGAGGCAGGGAGACCTCAGAGATTGTTCTGTCTCATTCACACCATCTCTCCACAACTCTCAACACAGAAATCTGTGACACTGAAATCCCATATTTTGGGTATCAGAGATAGTAATGGCATGAGTCAGAGACTGGAAGAAACTTTTCTCCTGATGGAGCATCAATGACTTAAGGTGAAGGTTAGAAGACTTAGAAGAAAACCAAAAATAGGTTCTTGTGGGTAGTAATATCTGGATTACTCCCGGTGCCACAAGCTAGTGAGGGTAGGAATAGGAGGATAGAATAGATGAATGCGTGGCTGAGGAACTGGTGCCAGGGAGAAGGATTCATATTTTTGCGTCATTGGAATGTCTCCTGGGGTAGAAATGATCTGTATAAGTAAGGCATGAATTGAAAGGGGCTAATATACTGGTGGGGAGAATTGCTAGAGCTGCACAGGTTGATTTAAACTGTTGGAAGGGAAGGGTGTAATGGGACCAAGAGAGACAGAAAGGAAAGTGATCATTCTGAGACTGGCACAGTTGGGAAAAAGAGTAAGTCAAACAGGCAGGAACAAGGTTGAGGATGAGGTAGGACTGATAAATTAAATTCCATTTATTTTGATGCAAGAGGCCTAACAGGTAAGGCAGATGAACTCAGGGCATGGTTAGGAACATGGGACTGGTATATCATAACAATTACAGAGACATGGCTCAGAGATAGACAGCTTAATGGTCCAGGGTATAGATGTTATAGGAAGGATCAAAAAGTGGACAAGAGAGGAGGGGGAGTAGCATTTTTGATTAGGGATAACATTATGGCTGTAATTAGGGATGATATTCCTGGGAATATGTTCAGAGAAGTTATTTGGGTAGAACTGAGAAATAAGAAAGGGATGATCACCTTACTGGGATTGTACTATAGACTCCCCAGTAGTCAGCGAACAATTGAGAAACAAATTTATAAGGAGACCTCAGTTACCTGTAAGAATAATATGGGAACGGGAGGAAATTTTAACTTTCCAAACATAGACTGGGACTGCCCTAGTGTTAAGGGCTTGGATGGAGAGGAATTTGTTAAGAGTGCAAAGAAAATTTTGATTCAGTATATGGATGTACCTACTAGAGAAGGCGCAAAACTTGACCAACTGTTGGGAAATAAGGAAGGGCAGGTGACTGAGGTGTCAGTGGGGGAGCACTTTGGGGCCAGTGGTCATAATTCTACTAGTTTTAAAATCGTGATGGAAAAAGGTTGGACCGGATCTGAAAGTTAAAGTTCTAAATTGGAGGAAGGCCAATTAGGCAAGAACCCCAGAAGTTGATTGAGGGTGGATGTTCGCAGATAAAGGGATGGCTGGGAAGTGGGAAGGCTTCAAAAATTAGATAACGAGAGTCCAGAGACATGTGTTCCTGTTAGGGTGAAGGGCAAGGCAGGTAGGTGCAGTGAATGCTGGATGACTACAGAAATAAGAGGTTTTGGTCAAAAATAAGGAGGAAGCATATTCAGGTACAGACAGCAGGAAATGAGTGATTCCCCAGAAATATATAAAGGCAGTAGGAGTATACTAAAGCGGGAAATCAGGAGGGCAAAAACGGGAACATGAGACAGCTTTGCTAAGTACAAAAGAGTAATGAAGGAGAGAATAGGACCCCTTAAAGATCAGCAAGGCCGCCAATGTGTGGAACTGCAGGACATGGGAGACATACTAAATTAGTATTTTCTATTAGTGTTTACTGTGGAGAAGGATATGGAAGATAGGGAATGTGGGGAAATAAATAGCAACATCTTTAAAAATGTCCGTACTACAGAGGAGGAGTTGCTAGACGTCTTAAAATGCATAAAGGTGGATAAATCCCCAGGACCTGATCAGGTTTACCCTAGAACTCTGTGGGAAGCTAGGGAAGTGAATGCTGGGCCCCTTGCTGAGATATTTATATCATCGATGGCCACAGGTGAGGTGCCGGAAAACTGGAGGTTGGCTAATGTGGTGTCACTATTTAAGAAAGGTGGTAAGGAAAAAACCAGGGAACTATAGACCGGTGAGTTTGACATCGGTGGTGGAAGAGTTTTTGGAGGGGATCTTGAGGTTCTTCATGGTAGACTGGTTAGCAAGGTTAAATTACATGGAATAGAGGGAGAATGAGCTATTTGGATTTACATGTATTTGGAAAGGCAAGAACTGATTAGGGATAGTCTACATGGCTTTATGTATGGAAAATCATGACTGGTCAACTTGGTTGAGTTTTTTAAAGAAGTAATGATGAGGTTTGATGAGGGCAGAAGGGTGGATGTGATCTATATGGGCTTCAGTAAGGCATTCGACAAGGTTCCCCATGGTAGACTGGATATCAAAGTTAGATCACATGGAGTACAGAGAGAACTAGTCATTTGGATACAGAACTGGCTCGAAGGTAGAAGACAGAGAATGTTGGTGGAGGGTCACTTTTCAGACTGGAGGCCTGTGACCAGCGGTGTGCAACAAGGATCGGTGCCGAGTCCACTGATTTTCATCATTTATATAAGTGATTTGGATGTGAACACAGAATGTATGGTTAGTAAGTTTACAAATAATACCAAAATTGGAGGTGTAGCAGATAGTGAAGAATGTTACCTCAGAGTACAACGGGACCTTGATTAGATGGGCCAATGGGCTGAGGAGTGGCAGATGGAGTTTAATTTAGATAAATGGGAGGTGCTGCATTTTGGATCAGGTTTATCCTAGAACTCTGTGGGAAGCTAGGGAAGAGATTGCGGTGCCCCTTGCTTAGATAATAATATCATCACTAGCCACAGGTGAGGTGCTAGAAGACTGAGTGTTGCTAACATTGTGTCACTATTTAAGAAAGGTGGTAAGGAAAAGCCAGGGAACCATAGACCGGTAAGCCTGACTTCAGTGGTGGGCAAATTGTTGGAGGCGATCCTGAGGGACTGTATTTACATATATTTGGAAAGGCAAGGACTAGTTGGGGATAGTCAACATGGCTTTGTGCATGCAAAATTGCATCTCACGAACATGATTGAATTTTTTGAAGAAGTAACAAAGAGGATTGATGAAGGCAGACCGGTGGAAGCTTGACGAGGAAGCTTCAACTCCATTGAAAATTAGGAAAAAAGTTAAAGGGAAGGAGAACGCAAGAGTTGTTAGTAATGGAGGTAATAGGACCCAAAAAGAAGGTGCAAAAACTGGCATAAGGGCACTTTATCTGAATGCTCGCAGCATTCGAAACAAGGTGGATGAGTTGACGGTGCAAATCATGGCAAATGGGTATGATTTAGTGGCCATTACAGAGACATGGTTACAGGATGGTCATGACTGGGAGTTAAATATCCAGGGGTGTCAAACTGTTCGGAAGGACAGACAGGAAGGTAAGGGAGGTGGTGTTGCTCTGATTTTTAAGGATGATATCAGGGCAGTAGTGAGAGATGATATAGGTTCTACTGAACAAAACGTTGAATCCATTTGGGTGGAAATTAGGAATGGTAGGGAGAAGAAGTCACTGATAGGTGTGGTCTATAGGCCACCAAATAATGACATCGTGGTGGGGCGGGCAATAAACATAGAAATAGCTAATGCATGTAAAAATGGTACAGCAATTATCATGGGGGATTTTAATCTACATATCAATTGGTCAAACCAGGTCGGTCATGACAGCCTTGAGGAGGGGTTCATAGAACGCATCCGCGATAATTTCCTTGAACAATATGTAATGGAACCTACGAGGGAGCAAGCTATCCTAGGCCTAGTCCTGTGTAATGAGACAGGAATAATTAATGATCTCACAGTTAGGGATCCTCTCGGAAGGAGCGATCACAGAATGGTTGAATTTAAAATACAGATGGAGCGTGAGAAGGTTAAATCCAGCACCTATGTCCTGTGCTTAAACAAAGGAGACAATGAAGGAATGAGGAAGGAGTTAGCTAAGGTAGAATGGGAGCAAAAACTTTATGGTGGGTCAATTGAGGAACAGTGGAGGACTTTCAAAACAATTTTTCACAGTGCTCAGCAGAAGTATATTCCAGTGATAAGGAAGAACTGTAGGAAAAGAGACAGCCAGCCATGGATGTCTAAGGAAATAAAGGAAAGTATCAGATTGAAAAAAAAACACATGCAAAAAAGCAAAGGTTAGTGGGAAACTAGTAGACTGGGAAATCTTTAAAGGCCAACAGAAAGCCACAGAAAAAGTTATAAAGCAAAGTAAGATAGATTATGAGAGTAAACTAGCTCAGAATATAAAAACAGGCAGCAAACGTTTCTATAAATATGTAAATCGTAAAAGAGTGGCGAAGGTAAACTTTGGTCCTTTAGAGGATGAGAAGGCCAATTTAATAACTGGGAATGAGGAAATAGCCAAGACATTAAACAGTTATTTCGTGTTGGTTTTCACAGTGGAAGACACAAATAACATGCCAAAAACTAATAGCAAGAAGGTTATAGCAGGTGAGGACCTAGAAACTATCATTATCACTAAGGAGGCAGTGCTGGGCAAGCTAATGGGGCTAAAGGTAGACAAGTCTCCTGGCCCTGATGAAATGCATCCCAGGGTACTAAAAGAGGTGATGTGGGAAATAGCAAATGCACTAGTAATTATTTACCAAAATTCACTGGACTCTGGGGTGGTTCCCGCAGATTGGAAAACAGCCAATGTGACGCCACTGTTTAAAAAAGGAAGTAGACAAAAAGCAGGTAACTATAGGCCAGTTAGCTTAACTTCGGTAGTGGGGAAAATGCTTGAATCTATCATTAAGGAAGAAATAGCAAGACATCTGGATATAAATTGTCCCATTGGGAACACCCAGCATGGGTTCATGAAGGGTAGGTCATGTTTAACTAATTTGGTGGAATTCTTTGAGGACATTACTTGCATGGTGGACAAGGGGGAACCTGTGGATGTGGTGTATCTGGATTTCCAGAAGGCATTTGACAAGGTGCCACACCAAAGGCTGCTACATAAGATAAAGTTGCACGGTATTACAGGTAATGTATTGGCATGGATAGAGGATTGGTTGACCAATAGAAAGCAAAGAGTAGGGGTAAATGGGTGTTTATCTGGTTGGCGGTCAGTGGCTAGTGGTGTGCCTCAGGGATCAGTGTTGGGACCTCAATTGTTTACAATTTACATAGATGATTTGGAGTTGGGGACTAAGTGTGGTGTGTCAAAATTTGCAGATGACACTAAGGTGAGTGGTAGAGCAAAGTATGCAGAAGACACTGAAAGTCTGCAGAGGGATATAGATAGTCTAAGTGAGTGGGCAAAGGTCTGGCAGATGGAGTACAATGTTGATAAGTGTGAGGTTTGGTAGGAATAACAGCAAAATGGACTATGTTTTAAATGGCAAAAAATTGCAGCACGCTGCTGTGCAAAGGGACTTGGGTGTCCTTGTGCATGAATTGCTAAAGGTGGGATTGCAGGTGATTAAAAAGGCAAATGAAATTTTGTCTGCCATTGCTCGAGGGATGGAGTTTAAAAACAGGGAGGCTATGCTGCAGCTGTATAGGGCCCTGGTAGGCCACACCTGGAGTACTATGTGCAGTTTTGGTCTCCTTATTTGAGAAGGAATATACTAGCACTGGAGGGGGTGCAGAAGAGATTCACTCGGTTGATTCCAGAGTTGAGAGGGTTGGATTATGAGGAGAGACTGAGTAGACTGGGCTTATACTTATTGGAATTCAGAAGAATGAGGGGAGATCTTATAGAAACATATAAGATTATGAAGGGAATAGATAAAGTGGAGGCAGGGTGGTTGTTTCCGCTAGCAGGTGAAACTAGGACTAGAGGACATCACCTCAAAATAAAGGGAAGCAGATGTAGGTCTGAGGTCAGGAGGAACTTCTTCACCCAAAGGGTTGTGAGTCTGTGGAATTCCCTGCCCAGTGAAGTGGTTGAAGCTACCTCACTGAATGTTTTTAAGGCAAGGCTAGATAAATTTTTGAACAGTAAAGGAATTAAGGATTATGGTGAGTGGGCGGGTAAGCGGAGCTGAGTCTCAAAGATCAGCCATGATCTTATTAAATGGTGGGGCAGACTCGAGGGGCCAGATGGCCTACTCCTGCTCTGAGTTCTTATGTTCTTATGGATGTGATCTATATGGACTTCAGTAAGGTATTTGACAAGGTTCCTCATGGTAGACTAGTTAGCGAGGTTAAATCACACGGAATAGAGGGAGAACTAGCTATTTGGATACAGAACTGGCTTGAAGGTAGAAGACAGAGGGTGGTGGTGGAGGGTTGCTTTTCAGACTGGAGGCCTGTGACCAGTGGTGTCATTTATATAAGTGATTTGGACGTGAACATAGGAGGTATGGTTAATAAGTTTGCAGGTGGCACCAAATTTGGAGGTGTGGTGGACAGCGAAGAAGGTTACCTAAGACAACAATATGATCTTGATCAGATGGGCCAAGGAATAGAAATTGGACCGAAGGGTCTGTTTCCGTACCGTATATCTCTGTGATTCTATGATTCGTTTGAACCCAGAGAATGGGAATCTGGAACTCACTGCCTGTAAGGGTGGTACAGGCAGAAACCGTCATATCATTGAAGTATTTAGATGTACACTTGCAATGCCAAGGCATTCAAGGCTCAAGCCAAGTGCAGGAAAATGAGTGGAATAGTTAGGTGGTTGTTTTTAACTGGCACAGACACAATGGGCCAAAGGGCCTTTTTGTCTGTGCTGTTGATCTCTATGACTGTATGACTCCAGTGCAGTTTTTTTGTGTTAATAACACTATCACTGAAACTAGTAATGAACAATAGCAGTGGTCAAAATATACTGTGAAACATCGAATTATTAGAAACAGAATCTCTCCCATGCTGGCTCGTACCTCAGTTTCTGTATTTTACAGTGCGTGATTCTCAGAGCTGCAGACAGCAGTTTCACACCCGAATCCCCCAGTTTGTTATTACTCAGGTTTAAATCTGTCAGGGATCGGTTTGTGCTCAGGGTGGAAGCAAGATCTTCATGAGAAGACCACATGAGACCAACTGATGATAGACTGTGAAGCAGCAAAAAAGAGAAAATGAATAAAAGGAAATAAAGGTTAAATTCCAATGCATTAAAGAATACTATTATTGACAAATACAATGTATCAAGCAAACATTCAAGAAAAATAACATCAGTTTATATAGAAGGCAAAATATAATTGATGCTGTAAATCATAAATCTAAATAAATATGTCGAAAATACTCAGCAAGAGCCTGCGAGTAAAGAAACAGAGCCATTTTTTTCAGTCCATGAGGTTTCGTTGGAACTGGGAATAAACATCCCTTTGTGCATTGACATTTTCCAACCTCTTACCACTTCAGAAATTCTCTGTACATCTGTTCCTCCTTCCCAACTGGCTGAGTCCACATTTTTCACTTTATGTTCCATCTATCAAAACCCTCTCTGAAATAACTGCACAGAGGCCGGTATCCCATCACCAAGTCACCCTCTACTTTATAATGCACAGTACACTGGCTGTGGCCAGCCAGCTTAGAGTCAGCCCCCTGAATGGAGGCAATTCTAAATCCCCTGGTTATATACTTTTTCTTTTTTCAAACTGAGATGTTTCTAATCTCCTGGTTATACATTTTTGTTTTGCTTATATTCCTCAGCACACGTGTGTGTGTGGGTGTGAGACACAGTAAAAACACTAGACGTGTAAATGACTTTATTGATAGTCCACCACCAGGAAAAACACCCATGTGACTTAAGAACCCGTAGCAAGCAGAGTCCCCTGAGGGCAATGCTTCTGTGAAAGAAAAGGGGAAGGGGAAGGTAGGGATCAAATTCAATTGGAATTGGAGGGGGAAATCCCCTGGTTATATTGGTCATCATGGACTTTCCTGATTGGCTCAGGTTAACAACCCCAATAGAGGATCTTGTAGTCAGTGATGTCCACCTAAATTTAATCACTACACTCTCCAGTCAGTAAGCCTGTCCATATCTTCCTGAAGCTATTTTACATCTTCCTCACAACACACATTCTCACCTAGCTTTGTACTATCTGGAAATTTGGAATAATTAAAATTGGTCCCCAACTCCAAATCATTGATATATTTTGTGAAAAGCTGGGGCCAAGTATTTAGCCCTGTTGTACCCCACTAGTCACAGCCTGCCAATGTGAGAACGACCCATTTCTTTCTAGTATCTGGACACGTACTATGTCCGTCCGCTCACCTTTATCAATTTTGTTTGTGACATTTTCAAAACACTCCAACAAGTTTGTCAAACGTAGTTCCTAATTTGCCAATCCATACTAACTGTGTCTAATCAGACCATTATTAATCAGATGGCTGTTTATCAATTATAATAGATTCTAGTGTTTTTCCTATTGCTGATGGAAGGCTAACAGGACTATTTTTCTCTTCTTTCTATCTCACTCGCTTCTTAAATGGTGGTATTATGGTCCAACTGTAGGAATTGTTGCAGAATCCATAGAATTTTGGAAGATAATTGCCAATGCATCAACTCACTCTGTAGTCACCAACTTCAACACTCTGGGTGTTGATCATCATTCCTGCGAACTTATCAATTTCAGGCCAATTTCTTCATTACAATCTTCTTACAGATGCTAATTTCCTTCAATTCATTCTCTCTAGCCAATTAAATCTCAAGTTCTGGGAGATTTGTTTATTCTTCCTCAGTAAAAACAGACAAAGTAATTATTTAACTTCTTTGCCATTTCTCTGCTCCCCATATAAATTCTCCGGATTCAATCAGTAATGGGCCTACATTTGTTTTAGCCAAATGTTTCCTTTTTACAGAAGCCTTAACAGTATCCTTTAATGTTATTTGGTGGATTGTATTCATCCTGTATTTTCCCTTTTATTATCAGTTTCTTGGTCCTCCTTTGTTATATTCTATAAAATTCTCAATTCTCAAAATTAGTGCTCACTCCTGCCTATATCATAGGCTTTTTAAAAATAATCACATGCAATCCTAAATTTCCTTTGTTAACCATGCTTGACTGACAGTTTCTGAGTTGATAGGGAAGAATATGGAATGGTCAGTGGCTTGGGAACAGAGCTTGTGTTGGGGTGAAGATATGGCTGTGATATTTTCTAAAATCTATGTCTAAGGATATTATCACAGATGTGGGTGCTTTGGCCACATGAGCAGGACAGGCAAAGTGAAGAACTGCAGTGAGCAGTACTTTCAAACACAGCAGCAGCTCTGGAGAAAATAGTGAGGGAGCCCTGGTTACTGGCTGAAGAAATGGCAGAAGGAGTTTTCAAGGGTTACTCCACGATTCCCTGATATGTCACTGAAAGTGCTCCTCAAGACTGCTTGGACACTGAGGCAGGTTCTGTTTTCACAGTTTGGCCCTCTGAGTATCGTTAGTCTGCATGGAGTCCACAAGGAGGGAAGCAGGCCTATGGGATGTGTTTGTGTTGCAGCAGAGGAATCAATGGTCTGCTGTTTTCAGACAAGGTAAGTGTCGCACACATTGTTAAAAAGAAAGAACAGTATAGCATAGGAACAGGCCATTCAACCCAAGAAGACTGCACCAACACTTTACACCTTTCTAAGCTAAAATTCTTTTGCCTCTATGCAGTCTATTGCCTGCCTATTCATATAGCTGTCAAGATGTCTCCTAAGCGTTGATATTGTATCTGCCTCCACCGCCTCCTCTGGCAGCTCATTCCAGGCACTTACCACCCTTTGTGTTAAAAAAACTTGCCTCTCACTTCTCCTTTAAAATTTCCCCCTTTTACCTTAAACCTAGGCCCCCTAGTAATTGACATCTCTTCCCTCAGAAAAAGACTCCAAAAATCCATTCTATCCAATGCCTTACATTGTTTTGTAAGCTTCTATCAAGTCACCCCCTCAATCTACAACGTTCAAGTGAAAATTAAGTTTGTCCAATCTCTCCTCATTGTTAAAACCCTCCAAGCCAGGCAACATCCTGGTAAGCCGTTTCTGCACCCTCTTCAAAGCCTCCTCTTTCTTCTGATAGTCTGGCAACCAGCACTGTACACAATATTCCAAATGTGGCCGAAGTGAAATTCTATACAGCTGCAACATGACTTGTCATTTGTTTTACTCAATGCCTCAACCAATGAAGGCAAGGTTAAAGTTACAGCTTTCTTCATCACTGGGGATTAAAGACAAATTGGTGAATAGGGCATCCTCACTAAGCCATTGGCAATGCCTAGGCAGCAGCAATATCTGTTTAAGGCTTGTCAGTCCCTCTACGGTCAATCTGACTTAACTCCTGCACTGCCGTGGGCTGCATGCAGGAGGCACCCCATTGCATCATGATGGACAGTCAGCCTCTCATCAGCATTGGTGACCGTGTGTCTTTGCTGGGTGAGTAACAACGGACATTTATGCACCTCTAGGCCAGAGCACGCAACATCAGGGAACGAGAAAAGAAGTTTGGAGTGAAAGGAGAATGTACCACCCTTATACCAGTGCAAGTTGTGGGGCTGAAGCGGAGAGACCTGGAGGCAAGGCAGGCAATGGTGGGTGAGGTGGGTTGTGGAGCAGAGAGTGGGGATAGTTTAATAGATGGACACAGGAGGCCCTCTAGACACCACTAAGCCCAGTGGTGCATCTGTGTTTATCCCTGATCATGTGAATTGCCAGAAAGCGGTCTCATAGTGTGCCTTGCCCTCTAATCATTGCTGTCTCATACAAATCAAAAATTGCTGTCACAAGGGACAGTCATCCACTTCTGAGGGGAAAGTTGGACTTCGTAGTCCTTTGGACCTGACTGTATCCCTTCAAAACATATTAAGGAGATAGCCTAGACCCTAACTTTTATTTTACTTAAAGGCAAGTGTAAAACACTCTGTTCCAGATGTGATTTGATTGTTTAAACTACTAGACTTTAAGCAAAGCACACTTTATTCTTACGCTACAATTAAAACACAAACAAAAGAAAGAATTGGCACAACTTTAACTCTATCGAAATACTTAAAATAATGTATTATTTAACTGCTACTCATCAACTGTTCCAATATAGCAGTACCCATAAATGCACCCTTGGCAAAGGCAAATTCAGCAACACAGATTTTCCTCTCTTGTTATCTCCTCCAGTCCAGGAGAAGGAATGCCAGCAGAAGGAATCTCACAGCTGAGAGGGGGAACTCAAGCTTTTGCAGCAGCTGAGAGAAAGCTGTATCTAGTAGCTTCAACTCCAAAACCCCAACTTCAACAACTGAAAGGAAAAACCTAACACCCTGGGTTTGTCCCACCCACTTATGCTTCTTTTGTTTAATTTTAAAAAAAAAGCCCAAAGCTATTTACTCTGCTTTCCAAGAGCAGACAGCTCCGCACCAGATTTATACCAACCCCCTTAAAGAAAAACAGGGCAGAGCAAATTCCTCTTAAAAGTCACATTATGTCACAAGATCAGTGCATCATTTTCCCACCCTTGGCATAAAACCTGAGAGACTAACACGCCACAATCATGTCAGCAGTGAGAAAGACCAGAGCACAGAGTAAATGCATCTTTTTGAAAAGAGAATAAGAACACTATCACTGTAGTAATCATAATGGACAATGTTCCTTTATTACAAAGGGCTCAAAATATATTGTTCAACATCCAGTTATTGTAAGCCCAGTCTGGTACTTACCCTAGCTTTTGTATTTAACATTCTGGGTTCCTTACAGCTGCAAACAATAGTTTCGCTCCCGAATCTCCTAGATTATTACCACCTAGGTTCAGATCTGTCAGTGACTGGTTTGTACTGAGAGCAGACGCAATATTCTCAGTAGAAGAATCTGAGAGGGTATTTTTATACAGGCTGGAGATTAGAGAATGAAAAATGATGAGAATCAGAACAAATCCCCAGAGTTTTGAAAGCACCATTAACAACAATGGATGTGACAGTTAAGAAACACAATTGACATTAACAAAGAAGGTGTTGCATCCTATTGATGCTGTAATTTTAAAATATAAATAGAAAGAAATGTTAGAAATATTCAGCAGGTCAGGTAGTATCAGTGAAGAGAGAACAGATTTAATACAAAAACAGAGGTCGCTGGAAAAGCTTAGTAGGTCTGGCAGCATCTGTGAAGAGAAATCAGAGTTTATGTTTCAGGTCTGGTGACCCTTCCTTGGAATAGATTTAATATTTCTGTCAATAAAAACCAGGAATATGCAGGAAACTAACAGGATTAAATGACTAGGAAATTAGTGAGGAGGACACACAAGGCAAGAACAAAGTGGAAGTGCAGGAGTGATTAAATGACAACAGGGATGATAGTGCAAGATGAAAGCACAGCATCTTCAGGCCCTTAACTTGAGTTACTAGTGAGGGGAATGGGATGGTCAGTGGCTTGGGGAATGGAGTTTGTTTTGGGCTTGAAATCAAATAGCTGGTGGTTTTACAGGAAGTTATAAAGTCAATGATAATGGACCAGAAGTGGGTGATGGTGTCATGTGGACGGGAGAGAAATGGCTGGGGAGGGAGGTCAAACTTATCAACAAGATTTTGTCAGAGGCCCATTATTAATAGTTGGCAGGCAAGAGGAACTGGCTAAGTTTTGGCAATGCTGGAGATCAGTTTACTCGTCTTTCAGCAGCATTTTCAAACACAACAGCTCAGCAGGGGCTAGTGGGAGCACTGCTTTACTGAACAAGCAGCTGAAGAAGTGATAGGAGCAGACCAATGGCCTCAAAGGGAGATCATATTCCTTCAGGATGGAAGGAGGAGATTAATCCCTTTGCCTAATCAATTCTGGATTCTTCAATGCTGAAGAATTGAGTGGCCAAGTGTTTGGCATGAAATGATCAATGCCCTGGGTGTCTCAGGATGAGTGCAGCACACAATGTTAAGCTTAAAACCATATTAAGTGTAACTAAGGAAAAAAAGTGAAACTGGTGGATAGGCCAACTCCACCCACCCTTTGGCAATGTCCAGGCAGTAGTATTAACTATTAGAGGCCTAACAGGGCCCTTGTACGTCACTGTTAACCCCTGCTCTGCTGCGACTGAGGGGCTGCGTGCAGGAGACATTCCTGGGATTTTTTTTTTCCCGATTCATTTGTGGGATGTGGGTGTCGCTGTCTGGCCAGCATTTCCTGCCATCCCTAGTTGCCCTTGAGAAGGTGGTGGGGAGCTGCCTTCTTGAACCACGGCAGCCTTTCTGCTGTGGGTTGACCCACAATGCCGAGGGAGGGAATTCCAGGATTTTGACCCAGCGACAGTGAAGGACTGGCGATATATTTCAGGATGGACAATCGAGCTCCTACCAGCAGAAGTCAATGCGTGTCTTTGATGACTGAGTGACTATGAAACTTTTATGTGCTTGTAGAAAATAGCACAGTATCATGGAACGAGCCAAAAAATTGCAGCAGTCCACCAACCATGTCGTCTTCATGCCAATGAGGTGCTGGAACAGGGAAGCAAATTGCTGACAGTGTGATGTGGAGCTGATAGACAAAGTGGCCTCATGGATAGACATAGAAGACACTCTGTTGACCACAAAACATAATGCACCTGTGGTCCATCACTGGTCACACAAAGCAGTCTGAAGGATGTGTTAAAATGCATACTGGTCTCAAATCACTCCCTCTGTCACAAATCAAGAACTACTGTGACTGGGAGGCAGCTGTCTGTCTCTGAGGAAGAGGGCACGCCATCACATTATATTGCCACACACTTGGCACAAAAATCTTTGGGTCTAGACTTTTGACATTATCGGTAAAAGAAAATGAACCACAGAGTGAACTAACTTTTTTAAATGAATGGCACTATCACTGACAGATAATCGTGGACAGTGTTTATTTTCATGCTTGTAAATATGGGTTATCAAGTTATTATATGCACACTGGTACTCACTCAATTTTCTGAATTTTACAGTTTGGATTCCTCAGAACCTCAGACAGTAGCTTGAGCCCTGTATCTCCCAGATTATTAGGTCGCAGCTGGAGATCTGTCAGTGACTGATTTATAGTGAGAGCAGAGGCAAGATCCTTGGCACAAGAATCTGTGAGAGCATTATTACTCAACCTGGAGAACAGAGAAGAAACAAACAGGAAATATAATAAATTCAGTATTTGGAACACTATTAACATGAATAATAGCATGCAGGGGTACAGATTCAAGAAACAACTTCTGTTTAGAGACAGGGCAAAGGACGATTGATATTGTAAACTTAGAATGAAAATAAAATATGAGGACATCCTCACCATGGGAAATGAAAGAACCATATAGAAGTAAAGGAGTGATTGAATGACAGAAGGGATGTTGGTGCAAGACACAGATACGGGATGCCCGCGTCTTTCCCCCACAAGTCATGTGTGTTGGTCAGTGCCTCTGGCATGGTGTTCATGGTGTGGGGGTCAAGAGCGGCTGTGATGTTACCGGAAGCTACAAAGTCTGGGTATTGCCGTTAGAAGTGGGAGCTGTGACCATGTGGGAAGGATAGCTAGGAACACGATACTCTCAGGTCAGGAAGAAAAGAGAAACTCAGGCAGTGCCGTAAGAAGCATGATAAGTTCAGGCAAGGCTGACATCAGCTTTACAGGCAGTCAGTGTTACTTTCAAACATAGCAACTCTGGAAGAGAGAAATGAGAGATTCCTGATCACGGAGTGAAGAGCTGAAATGGCAAAATGTAGATTAAAAGGTTGCTTCTTGATTTGGATATGCTTTCCTGACGGCGTTCCTCCAGGCTGCTCAGAAGTGGAGGGAAAACCTCAGGATGGGAGCAGGAGATCTGCCTATCAATCCAAGCAAGTTTGATTAGAAGTTGCTAAGGAGGTAAGCAGATCTGGAGCACATGGTGGCAGAGACCTAGGACGATCAATGGCCTGATGTGTTCTGAAAGGTGACTGCCCCCCTCAATGTTACGGTCAGAGCCTAAAATGTGACTGAGGAGAAATGGGTGGAAAGGGAATCCTCACCCAGCCAAGGGCAATGCCAAGGCAGAAGTAATGTCTGTCAGCCTCTCGGTGGAGGGATCTAGTCAGTCAGACTGAACTGCTGTACTGCCACGACTGAGGGATCTGCATACAAAAGATATCCCTGTGGCATTGAGATGAACAGCCAGAACTGTCATTAGCTTGAGTGCCTTCTTGCTGGGTGAGTAACAAGGCACATATATGTTTCTGTAGAAGGCAACAGACCTCAAAGAATGTGTGAAGAGAGGTGGTGACATCCAGATCCTGTCACCATTACACCAATAATAAAATGAGGCTGAGGAGCTGGGAGCGCTGGAATCATGCAGCCAATCACTGATGATGAGATGGGTTGTGGAAATGGCTTGGAGGGTGATGGTGTTATGTTGTCCCTCTCCTTCTGGATGGTAGTAATTGGGAGTATAGAAGATGCTGCTTAAGGGGCCTTTGTATTCAAAAGAGGATACGGATCTCAGATGACTACGACCTCCGTACTGATACTAAGATATGGGTGTGTAACGCAGTCACCTTTCCAATTCGCCAACACCTCCAAAAATTGCACTGTGTATAGACGACATTTAAAGGCTCTCAAGTAGTAGTCTCGGGATTATTCCCTGTGCCACACACTAGTGAGGCCACAAATATTTGATTGGATTTATTACTGTCGCGTGTACCAAGGTACAGTGAAAAGTGTTTGTCTTACTTGCTTTACAGGCAGATCTTCATCAGGTAAGGGTAGGGTGCAGAATACAGTGTTACAGCTGCAGAGAAGGTGCAGGGAGAGATCAACATTAACGGTAAAGAGGTCCATTCAAAAGTCTGATAACAGCAGGGAAGAAGCTGTTCTTGAATCTGTTTGTACATATATACAAACTTTTATATCTTCTGCCTGATGGAAGAGGGTGGAAGAGAGTATAACAAAGTCTTTGATTATGCTGGTTGCAGCAGAAAGTATAGATGAAATCAATGGACGGAAGGCTGGTTTGAGAGACGGACTGGGCTTGTTCACAACTCTCTGTAGTTTTTGATCTTGGGAAAAGCGGTTGCATCCAGATACGATGCTTTCTATGGTGCATTTATTAAAATTTGTAACAGTCTTTATGGATGTGCTGAAATTCCTTAGCCTCCTAAGGAAGTAGAGTCGTTGTTGTGTTTTCTTGACCATATTGTCAATGTGAGTGGACCAGGACAGATTGTTGGTGATCATCACTCCCAGGAATTTGATGCTCTCGACCATCTCCACCTCAGCACCATTGATGCGGACACTGGCATGCCCTCCACCCCGCTTCCTAAAGTCAATAACCAGTTCCTTTGTTTTGCTGGCATTGATGGAGAAATTGTTGCCTTTACACCATGTTGCTGAGCACTCTTTCTCCTTCCTGTACTCTGTCTCGACATTATTTGAGATCCGCCCTACAACAGTGGTGTCGTCAGCAAACATATAAATAGAGTTGGTGTGGAATTTCACCAGACAGTCATGTGTAAATAAGGAGTAAAGCAGGGGGCTGAGTACGCAGCCTTGCAGGGCACTGGTGTTGAGGAATCATTGTAGGGGGAGGTGTTGTCGCCTATCCTTACTGACTGCAGTCTATTGGTCAGGAAGTCAAGAATCCAGTTACAGAAGGGGGAGCAGAGACCTTGATCCACGAGTTTGGAGAGGAGTTTGTTTGGAATTATGGTGTTGAAGGCGGGGCAGTAGTGGATGCAAATTGTAGAATGTATAAGCAGTAGATGACATGAAAAATAGTGGTTTTGCTGATAATGAGGAAGATGGTCTCAGGCTACAGTCTGATATTGATAAGCTGGTAAATTGGGCAGATCAATGGCAGATGGATTTTAATCCTGCCGAGATGCATTTTGCAAGGGCTAATAAGGGATGGATATATTCAATGAATGGTAGGTCCTTAGGGAGTACTGAGGAACAAAGGGACCTTGATGTACAAGTCCATAGATCCCCTAAGGCGTCAGCACAGGTAGACAGGATGGTGAAAAAGCATACAGGATAGTCGCCTTCATTAACTGGAGCATAGAATATAGAAGCGAGGAAGTCCTGTTCCAAACTTATGAAACATTGGTCAGGCCACAGCTGGAACACTGCATGCTATACTGGTCACCACATTATTGGAAGAAGACGATTGCACTGGAGAAGAGGGTGCAGAGGAGATACACCAGGATGTTGCCTGGGACGGAAAGTCTCAGTAATGAGGAGAGACTAGATAGGCTGGGTGTGTTTTTCATGGAGCAGAGGAGGCGGCTTGGGGGGGGGGGCGGGGGGGTGGCGGGTAGGCAAAATTATGAGAGGCACAGACATCTTTTCCATATGTGTCCAAGACCAGAGGGCTCAAGTTTAAGGTGAGGAATAAATCGTTTAGAGGAGATCTGAGAGAGAGAAAAAAAACTTATTTATCCAGAGTATAGAAGAAATATGGAACATGCTGCCTGAGACAGGGTAGTGGAGGCAGGTGCTCAAAACATTTAATAAGCATCTAGAGAAGCATGTGAACTGCCAAAGGACAGTAGTATATGGACCAAGTGTAGGTAAATGGGATTAGTATAGTTTGGTGTTGATAGTCGGTATAAGAGGGCCGAAGGGCATGTCTATCTCTGCTGAATGACTCTATGATTCTAGGAGTCCATGGCACCTCGCATATCTCAGTTGCACAGGAGGCAAGAAAAGAAAAATGGAAGGCCATGGGCTCAGAGGCGATTTGTAGTTAGCAGAACAAATCATTTGTTTGGTTGTAGACCTGTCTCTGGCAAGGTGTGTGGCATCCCTATTGCTCAGAGTGAAGGATGTCACAGAGCTGCTGCAGGACATGTTTCTGGGCAAGAGTTCACATCGGTACCAATAAAATAGGTTGGAAGAAGGGATGAGGTCCTGAAAGCAGATTTTGAAGAGATAGGAAACACATGAATACGCGATACCTCAAAATCAGTAATCTCAGAATTCCTCCCACTTTCATGTGTGCATAGGCAAAGAAATAGAAGAATTGTGGAGAAAATGGAGAAAGTGGTATTATCACTAGACTATTAATCCAGGAACTCAGCTAATGTTCTGGGCGTGAAGGTTCAAATACAGCCATGTTAGATCATGGAATTTGAATTCAATTGGTGGAAATGGAGTCTAATGATGATCCTGAAACCATTGACAGTTGTTGGGAAAAAGCCTATTTGTTCACTAATGTCCTTTAGGGAGGGAAATCTGTCATCTTTACCTAGTCTGGCCTACATGTGACCCACAGCAATGTAGTTTACTCTTAAACGTTAGGGATAGCAGTACATGCTGGCCTAGCCAGATATGCCCACACCCCATGAGTGAGTTAGAAAAAAATTGAATTGCTTCCACTTTTCAAGAAGTGTGATGGAGATAAACCATGGAATTACAGACTACAGAGTCTCACAGTGGTAGGGAAACAATTGGAGGAAATTCTGAAGAGAGAATTAACCAGTTTAGAGAGGCAAAGTTTTATGCGGGATAGTTAGCATGACTTTATCAGAGGGTGGTCATGCCTAACAAATCTGGTTGTATTTTTTGAGGAGGTGACCAAGTGTGTAGATGAGGGTAGGGCAGTTGATGTTGTTTATATGGATTTCAGCAAATCTTTTGACGAGCCCCCACATGGGAGACTGTCACAGCGGGTTAAAGCACATGGGCACTTGGCAACTTGGATCTAAAATTGGCCAAATGACAAGAAACAGAGGACGGTGGTAGAAAGCTGTTTGTGTGACTGGAGGCAAACGTCCAGTGGCATGCCAAAGAAATCAGTGCTGGGTCTCTTATTGTTCATGATATATATAAACAATGTAAATGAGAGCGTAGGGAGAATGATAAATAAGTTTGTGGATGACGAAGATTGGTTGGGTGCTTGACAGTGAGGAAAAAAGATTTCATAGAATCCCCACTGTGTGGGAACAGTCCATTCAGCTCAACAAATCCACACAGACCCTGCAAAGAACATCTCACCCAGACCCATCTCCCTACACTATCCCTGCATTTTCCATGGCTAACACACCTAACCTACACATTCCTGGACATTATGGACAATTTAGCATGGCCAGTCCACCTAACTTGCACATCTTTGGACTGTGGGGGGAAACCAGAGCACTCGACAGAAACCTATGCAGACACAAGGAAAATGTCTAAACTCCACACAGACTGTTGGCTGGAATTGAACCCAGGTCCCCAGTGCTATATAGCAGCAGTGCTAACCACTAAGCCAGTGTGCCACCCAAGATGTTAGGTCAGATGGCAGATGGTCTTTAATCCTGATAAGTGTGAGGTGATGCACTTTGGAAGAAGGCACAAGACAAGGGAGTACTCAATGAATGGCAGAACATTAGGAAGCTCAGAGCAACAGAGGGATCTTGGGATGCTTGACCACAGATCCCTGAAGGTGGCAGGACAAGGTAGTAAAGGCAGCATACGGGACACCTGCCTGTCAGTCAAGGCATAGAATATAAAAGCAGGGAGGGTATGTTGGAGCTGTACAGGGCTTTGGTTAGGCCACAGCTGGAGCACTGCGTTCAGTTCTGGTCACCATTCTATAGAAAGGATGTGATTGCACTAGAGAGAAGAGATTCAACAAGATGTAGCCTGGGAAGGAGACTTGAGCTACAAAAAGATGCTGGCTAAGTTCAGAGCTTGGAGGTTTGAAGCAGAGAAGGTTGTGGGGGGTCCTGATACAGGTGGTTAAGATTAAAAAGGACATGAACAGGTTGAATAGGATGCAGATGTTCATCTTAGTTATGGGGTCGATAACAATAACAATTTTAAGATGAAATGTCAGAAGCTTAGAGGGGATTTGAGGAAAATCTTTTCACTCAGTGGGTGGGTCTCTGGAATGCACAGCCTAGGAGGGTAGTTGAGGTAGCTGACTCTTTAAAAAGTACTTGGATGAACACTTAAAATGTCAAAACATTCAAGATTATGGGCCTAGTGCAGGAAAGTGGGACCAGTGTAGATTTAGTGTAGCTTTGGCAGGATGCAGAGATGGTGTCAGATTTCTGAGGCACCAGAACCAATTCTGGAGCAGTGCAAGCTGGATGGGTTACATTTGAGTAGGGCTGGGATGAACAAGGTTATTTGCACATGCTGTTGTATGGTGTTTAAAGTGGATTGCCAGGAGTATGGGTGAGGGAGATTGAACAGTACAGCACAGTACAGGCCCTTCGGCCCACAATGTTGTGCCGACCTATTATCCTACTAAGATCAATCTATCCTGCATACCCAACATTTTACTATCCTCCATGTGCCTATCCAAGAGTCACTTAAAAGTCTCTAAAGTATCTGACTTTAGGGAAGTAACACTGGTAATTGTAAGAGGGAAAGTATCAAGCAAAATTAGAGAACAGATGAAATGAAGGGAAGAATACGGAATAATGTTAAGTAGACAAAATTAAATGCACTATATTAAAATAAATGCACCATTCGAAACAAGAGTGAAGATGTGAATGTGCAAGTTGGCCAAGATTAGGAACTGGAAGTGAATGGATTTTCATCATTTGGGAAGGAGAGGCTGAGGGAAAAGGAGATGGGATTACAATCCGAATATAGTGTTGAGATCAATGCACTCAGAAAAGAAGGTCTTAGCTTGAGGTATCAAGATGTAGAATCAGTTTGGATGGAGCCAAAGGCAGCAAGGGACAATAAAACTAATAATTACCAGTAATTGTAATCTTGTACACAGTATAAATGAGGACAGAACTATAAGTAACATGGGTAATACAGGAATGATTTAAATTCACATAAACCTATGTAGTACAAGTGCTGTGGAGGTTGAACTCCTGTAATATGTGAAAAAAAAAAATGGGATTCTGAAGCAGTATATTGAGGAACCAATTTAGGATTGGGCTCTTGAAAATTTAGCCAGATTGGTGTCAATCAATTTGCTTTACAGGAGCATCTAGGAACCAGCGACCATAAATGGTAGAATTTTATTCAAGTTTGAAAGTGATAGAGTTCATTCTGAAACAATGGTGTTAAATTTGAACAAAGGAACTAAGAAAGTTCAAATCTATGCAGATTCCTTGGAGATACATAATTTGATAGTTTATTACTTTGATAGCTTGTTAACAGCCGTACTAATACATTTATGGAGATTTCCTAGGTTCAAGCAAATGGAGAGGCTTGCAAGTTTAAACTGCAGTTTGTAATGTACAATTAAACCAAGTTTAAACAGTAATGTTAATTAATACAATATACAGTAATGTATCAATATCTAATAATTTTGTCCATGTGGTTATTCTGATGCATGCTTTTGCAAATAATGTTACATGATTATTTCTGGATTTCACTCCTGAATCTCTCCATTCACTGTAACTCGGGTTCAGATTAATCGGTGACAAGTTTAAGGTGAGAATACGGGTGATTGTTACTTTCTGGCCTGGAGATGAGAAGTATTACAGGAGTCCAAGTCAATCTGCAGTGTTTATTTATAACATTAAGACTGATATTAATGTTAATGGGCGGCGTTTACTAGTGATGCCTTTACTGATATTGATAATAATTTACAGTGTCAGATATCCAGTTACAGAAACACACTCTCATTGAGTCTAGAACTTACCCCAGACTTTGTAGTTTACAATTTGGATTCGTCATGGCCTTAGATAGAAGTTTCACTCCTAAATCACCTAATTGATTTTCATGAAGGTTCAGCAATGCTAGAGATTGGTTTGCTGTTAGGGTGAAAGCAAGATTCTCAGCACACGAAGCTGTGAGACCGTTATTATCCAACCTGAAGATTGGAGACAGAGAGCGAAAAAAAAAATGGAAATCTGGATAAAATACAACAAGGGTGAAATTGGACAATGTTGCAGACCAGGCATTGGTTAGCTGTGATATGGATCTACTTCGACAGACCTCAATATCACGTGATCCCGTAACCACCAGCAAATGTGATTTTACCTGTTTTTCATCCCTGCTGAAGTCTATTTCCTTACTTTTTAATATTAATACTTTGTGATACTCAAAACAATATGTCTGTTATTAAAAACACAATTCCTGTTACTGAGAATAAAACAGCATCAAACGCCCAGCTATAATAAACACAATCTCACAAAGTCTTATTCTTACCGCAATCTCTGTATCTTACAGGCTGTGTTCCTCAGAGTTGCAGACAGCAGTTCTATCCCTGAATCTCCCAGATTATTCTTCTGCAGACTAAACAGAGAATGAGAAAACCATTACAGTAAGGTGAGAAACAGGAGCTGGGTTTGTTCTTGGCTCAGAAACTCACAAGCAGTGGGAAGCAGATAAAGGCTACAATCTTCATCTGGGGATGTTTGCACATAGTATGGAGACCAGTTTCCTGTTCTCTTCGAGCCAGCAGCATTGGGAAGGGATGCGAGTCAGATGAAGTGTGAACTCATCAGATTCATATGGCAGTGATCACTCAGTGATTGTCCTGTGAAAGTGATCTGCAGATCATACCAAAGCCTATCATAGTACCAGAAGGAAATGAGGTGTCACAGGGAAGCCAGAGGCCTAGCACTTGGGGTAGGGCATCGCCTCACTTCATCAGTGTCAAACCCGAGGCAATAAGGGAGGGGATTGATTTCCACTTTCCAGAAAGTAGCAGGAGGAAGCCACCTTAACATGTGACAACCACCTAGTTCAGCATCATTTCCCCTCACCAGCTCCCTTCTCTCTCAGGGGCTGCTGCTCGCCCAGTGAGCTGTTTTTTTGCCCCATTGTCCTCAAGGTCCACACCTCTCTGGACAGCCATTGTTATGGAGAGAGTAGCGAACATCAAGGAACTGCTTTATCATATTTGGTGGCACTACTACTGGGATAAATGGAACAGGCTTCGAACAAATCTAGTAACTCAAAGATGGGCATCTGCGACATGCTATGCATCAGCTATTCTCATTCCCTGCTGGCAGAAGTCTCAGTGAAGGTTTTTCCCCTAATCCTTTGTAATCTACTTCTCTCTCCCCAAGATACACATCTTTTCCCAACCTGACTCACTTCACACTGATCCCTCAACTCACTCACATTAGACTTCCTCTTCCTCTTCCTTCCCACCCAGATCCACTCTCTCACCGTTACCTCCATCTCCAAACCTACTCACTCATTCCCTCTCTTCTTCCCTGCTCACCTGAATAGACTCCCTCATCATTCCCTCCCTATCCAAATCCACACCCTCCGTCCCTCCTTTCCTGCTGTTAAATCCACCCACCGCTTAGGAACAAGGAATGTTTGTCCTAACCTATTACAAAGTCAATGCCCCTGATCTCCAAGTTTACAGAAGATGGCTGTCTCCCATCTAATTCTCCATTACTCGACATTTACTGTCAGCGTATCTATGATTGCTATACTCCCTGTCAGTCCTCACACATGGGCTGGGTTATCAGACAATGCAGTTGTACACTGACAGTTTTACCAGAGACTGTCCACTACATCCAGTTAATGGTAGAAATTCCAGAAATTCCTCCCAGTTGTTCAGTGTATGGCTGCGAATGGGTAAAGCAGGAACTTGAGGCTTTAAAAACAGCAGCTAGTTTCTTCATTTAGTGAGCAGTATTAACATTAATTTTAAATAATTAGACCTAACAATGTCTTTTATGTAATTTTCTAAAGTTAAGTTATTTCATTCTCCCACTGATTATTTATAACGTGTAGGATCAAATTTACCCAGTGATCAGTGCAGTTTGTATTAGATAATAACATGCTACATTATTTTTAAAACATCTGATAGAAACACAGAAATTAGGAGCAGGAGTAGTCCATTATGCCCTTTGAGCCTGCTTCACCATGTGGGATGATCACGGCGGATAAACCAACTCAGCCCTGTTCCCATTTTATCCCCATACCTCTTGATCCCTTTAGCCCAATGAATTATATCTAACTCCTTCTTGGAAACTTTCAATGCTTTGACCTCAACTACTTTTTGCGGCAAACAATTCTTTGGGATCCTTGAATCTTTCTCGGAAAGGTGAACCCAAAAAGAAGATCTTTTGTGTGCGCCCTCACATCAGTTTACATGGGAAATCTGTGACCCAAACATACGTGAACTGTATCGAGTGGGGTGGTGACTATGGTCTGGGAGGATGAAGGGAGTGATCACTCTCGGGGTAAGTGGTTTCATAATTGTCATGATGAGGCGGTGATCACTGTGAGGGAATGCAGGGAAGGTCTATCAAGGTCAGGGGGTTGAAGGTAATCACTGAGGGGTCTGGGATTGATCACTGTCAAGTCACCTCAGGTGGAAGTGCTAAAAAGGAGAAGGCTAATTATAATGGTATCAGGCAAGAACTGGAGAAATTAGATTGAGAGTGGCAGCATCTGTGAAGGGAGATCAGAGCGAACGTTTTAGGTCCGGTGACCGTTCCTCAGAACTGATGATAGCTAGGAAAATGCCAGTTTATATGCAAAGATGGGTTGGGGCGAGGGAGTAAGGAGTAAATGATAGGTGGGGATAGAACCCAAAGAGAGAAGAGCAGTTGGATAGACAAAGGAGTTGATAACCATCTGGCTAGGAGGGTAAATAGCTGTTAATGGGGACAGGTAGTGACTGACTAACCCAGTAGGTAGTGTGTAATGGCAGTCTGTGAAAACAAGACCTGGTGATTTTAGGGCCTTAACTCTCCCATGTCCTAGCCTCCAATCGGACTGGGGGCTCGGACATGGGGGAGTTTAGGCCCGAAAATCATTGAACTCGATATTGAGTCCGGAGGACTGCAGGGTCCCCAAGCGGAAAATGAGGTGTTCTTCCAGCTTGTGTTGAGCTTTACTGGAACACTGCAGCAAGTCAGAGATAGAGATGTTGGCCAGGGAACAGGGTGGTGCGTTAAAGTGGCAGGCTAGGGGTCTTTTTTGCAAGCAGAACGTAGATGTTCTGCGAAGTGGTCACCCAATCTACTCTTCATTTCCCTGATGTACAGGGGACCACATTGTGAGCAGCGAATGCAATGGACTAGATTGTGGGAAGTGCAGGTGAAGTGTTGCTTCACCAGGAAGATATGTTTAGGCCCTTGGATACTGGGGAGGGAGTAGTAAATGGGCAGGTGTTGAACATTTGGCAGTTGCAGGGCAAGGTGGTATGATCAGAAAGGGTCACTAGACCCGAAACGTTAACTCTGATTTTTCTTCACACATGCTGCCAGACCTGCTGAGCTTTTCCAGCAACTTCAGTTTTGGTTCCTGATTTGCAGCATCTGCATTTCTTTCAATTTTTCTTTTAAATATCAGTTGTTCAGAGTTTGTGACTGACATGTTCCTGTGAGGATGAAAGATAAGGATGGCAAGATTCAGCAACCTTGGATGACAAAAGATATTGAAAGGTTAGTTAAAAAAAGAGAAAGGAAGAATAATCTAAGGTTTAAAAAACTGAAGTCAAACAATGCCCTTGAGCTGATTCAAGTAATGGGGAGTGATCATTGCCAGAGTGTTCAGGATAATGATTGTTGTCAGCTTTAGGGAAGGTAAGTTGAGATTTCAAACTAAAAATAAGTAAGTTTCTCTCATTGTGACATTTCTGTGCAAAATGTTAAATCTGTTGAAATCTTCAGACAATCTTGTCATAGTTTCTCCATGTAACCTGACAAAAGAAACTACCTTGGGTAAGCACCATCCTTTATCCGAAAACTTAAATTATCTGAATTCTGATATGTGATTCATCCAAAGGTTTTTCGGATAAAGGATACCTGACCTGTATATTATTCTCCGAATTGCTTTATAATATCTGTATCATGATCTTGTAAATAGATATCGCTATTTCTTTTCATTTTAATTCAATTGTCAACTCTTGAGTCAAGTCACCGCTAAGTATTAAAAACTTGTTTGTAAAGGCATCATTCTAATTTTCTGAGATAGTAGGAACTGCAGATGCTGGAGAATCTGAGATTAAAGGTGTAGAGCTGGATGAACACAGCAGGCCAAGCAGCATCAGAGGAGCAGGAAAGCTGACGTTTCGGGTCTAGACCCGAATCCTCTGTTGTGAAGTCTTTTTCCAACTCTGCCTTTCTTTGCTTGAGCTGGAAGTTTTTTTTAATGATAGCATCAATAGTTTCTCAACACTGAAAATACGAGCTATGGCTTGAAACAAGAAGTTACCTCAACTCCTGGCATCTGTGCAGAACAGATACCAGCCGCTGGAGTCCTTCACACTGAATCAAGCAACTCTCTAGATCAATCTGTTTTACTGAATCACAGAGTTCAATGACATGAGACAGCACCACACAATCAATTGGGGTCAGTCGCAATCCACTAAACTTAAATGTCTCCACAGATCCCACTGTAATCCGTGCTAGTGCCCTGTTCTGAGATTCGAACAAGTAGTGCAAAGTGTTCAAGAGGTTCCGTTTACTGGCGTCTCGCATTGTCTTTCCAATCTGTTTTCCAACCATCTCCTTCACCCAGTCAATCACTTCGCAGGTTACTTCATGAAGAAATGGACCCAGAAACTCCTCCAGGGGCCAAGCTGCCTGTGAGGAAGAGAGGCCAGCTACAAAACGGAGGAATATCTCAAATCTTCCATCATCCTTGCTGTGGGCTTCATGGAAAAATTTACGTATTTTCCCAGGATCTGGAGTCAGGAATTGTGCCTGAGCGGCTACAAACTCTTGGATGGTAAGGTGTGGGAATGTGTACACCACACTGCAGAGAGAATCAGAGACAACAAGGTGCTGGGCTGGATGAACACAGCAGGCCAAGCAGCATCCTTGGCCTGCTGTGTTCATCCAGCCCTGCACCTTGTTGTCTCGGATTCTCCAGCATCTGCAGTTCCTACTATCTCTGCGGAGAGAATCATCTGTCTCCAGAAGCTCCATCAGGAAGCCTGATAAGAACTGGAAGGGTTGCAGGTTGTACTGGATCAGATCTCCATTTCTGAACACAATCTTCTTCTCAGAGACTCCTTTGATGGCCATCTCACCAAGATTCCGTAACACATTACGGGGGTCTTCAATCTCTCGGCCATGGTTTTTCGGAATGTTGTAAATATAGTAGGAATATAGCTGGGTGATGGTCTTGGGAACTTGCTGCTGTTTCGTTTCAAATTGTGTGAAGAAGGGACCCAGTGACAGACTGAGGATCCAGCAGTATGAAGGATTGTAGCACATGGTGTATAGGATCTCGTTCTCCTCCACATGTTTGAAAATAGCGGATGCCACCGACTGATCTTCAAAAAACTTGTTGAAAAATTCCTTCCGTTCATCACCAACAAGTCCTAGGATTTCAGCCCAGACACTGATCTCAGCCTTTTCCAATAAATGTAATGCAGTGGAACGGCTGGTTATTAACACTGAACATCCAGGGACCAGCTTGTGCTGGATTAAACTGTACACAACGTCAGACACTCCACACTGGAATTCAGGATCTGTGCACTTGGAGTGAGGTTCTGTATTTCTACGATTGTCAGTAAAATCAATACTGTCCTTGAATTCATCCAAACCATCGAATATAAACAGCAATTGCTCTGGGTTCTTCCAGAGCTGCCCCAGAACTTTCCCAAAGTAAGGATACTGATCCAGTATTAGATTCCTGAGATTTATTTTGCAGCAAATCATATTCAAATCAGGAAATTTGAAACCGGAAACAAATTGAAAATTTTGGTAGATTCTGCCAGTGGCCCAGTCATAAACAATCTTTTGTACCATTGTTGTTTTTCCAATTCCTCGTACTCCACTTACTGCTGCTGAACTCCCAGATTTGGGTTGGTGGAGTAACCTCTTCATTTTGTTGACCAAACTGTGGCCCTGGGAAAAGCTGCTTTTGAACAATTGATTGGACTGGATTTTTTCCAGCTCCCTTCGGAGATGTTTGTCTCTCCATTCCTCATGGTCTCGGCCTCTTGCCAGAAGTTCATGTTCTACAAGAGTCCGATATCGTACAGTAGAAATCATTGTTAGATCAGTGTATCGATTAACTAGCTGGAAAATCTTCACCTTCTCCTTTATTAGGACAGTGTTCATTTTCAGCCTTTCAGTTTGCACCCGAAGCACCTCTTTGTGTTTCTTTTGAACATCTTCAATCAGAACAGACAACTTTCTGTTAGTTATTAAATATACTAAAATCTAATTGACACCTTCAGTTGAGGTACATATAGAATATAATTATTGATCATTTTGAGCTGTGAAATAGTGGTATCTTTCTAACATTGCAGCAAAGTGGTTAGCACTGCTGCCTCACAGCACCAGAGACCAGGGTTCTATTCCACCCTCGGGCGACAGTCTGTGTGGAGTTTGCACATTCTCCCCGTGCCTGCGTGGGTTTCCTCCCACAGTCCAAAATTGTGGAGGCTAAGTGGACTGACCATGCTAAATTGCCCATAGTGTTCAGGGATGTGTAGGTTAGGTGGGTTATAGGGGGATGGGTCTCGGTGGGATGCTCCGAGAGTCAGTGTAGACTCGTTGGGCCGAAGGGCCTGTTTCCACACTGTAGGGATTCTAATGATATTTCTAATTTTCCAAAAAAACTTTTCTAAAGTTTATGTTGGGACAGCTCTCTAGGGAAGCATTTAATTATTCACAAGTAGCTCAAGGCTATGTAGGTTACATAGAACCGTTACAACACAGGAACGGGTCCTTTGGCCCAGGATGTTGTGGCAGATGGCAAATGAAAGAAATCCCTTCTGCCTGCCCTTGGTTTATATCCCTCTATTCCTTGCATATTCACGTGCTTAAGTCCAGTAAATGCCCTTATCAAACCTGCCTCAACCACCACCCCTGTCAGTGCTTTATATTTAGTGTAAGAAATTTGCCTCTCACATCTCCTTTGAACTTTCCCCTCTCACCTTAAATACATGCTCCCTAGTATTAGATATTTCAACTCTGGGAAAAAGATTCTGACCGTCAACCCTATCTACGCATCTCATAATTTTATAAACTTCTATCAAGTCTCCACTCAGCCTCTGCTGCTCAAGAGCAAATAACCTGAGTTTTGCTAGCCTCTCCTTATAGCTCATACCCTCTAATCCAGGCAGCATCCTGGTAAACCTCTTCTGCACCCTTGCCAAAGCCTCCTTGTCCTTCCTGTCATGTGGAGACCAGAATTGAATGCAATATTCTAATATGATGACAGAGTGAATGTGTCACAAAGAAAATGTATATAATAGTATCAAAATCTCCCCATGTGTGTGTAGGATTTTCAGTGTATCTGAATTTGCCAGGTATGTATAGGGGTTTTCACAGTGTTTCAGGATCCTGCTGGGTGTGTACAGGGGTTTTCATAGTTTATCAAGATGCTGCCAGGTGTGTAGAGGGTTTCACAGTGTAGCAGGATGTTGCTAGTAGTACATCAAACTTGAAATGTGATTATAACCTGGAGATTCACAGGAAACATCAATAATCAAGTGAACTGGAAATTGAACCAAAACAGTAGAGGATTGGTATCAATCCTGTTTAGCCATCCTTACACATCAGATTTCCAGATCCTGACAATCAAACCATTGGCTACTGTCAATCATTCTGATTTTTAATTGCGAACAACATGTTTTGAAAACCCCAGTTTTTCCACTTACCTTTCAGCTGCCTGGCTCCTTCGGGTAAACCTCGTGCGGTGTTCATGTCAAATGGATCAAAATCTATTCAAACCAAGACGTTTCATGAAATCAAATCTTAGGAATGTTGTACCAGCTTCTGCAATATTTGATTCTGAAATTGAATTTGCTTTGATATTACCATACCGAGGTCTTTTATTTCTTCCAGTATTTTGTCCAATTTTGGTAACCCACGCTGCATTTTCACAAAGGAATCCCACATCACCCTTCGGGCCTTTGAGCCTTCGAGCCTTTCTCCATTACCAGATTGAGGAGAAGGTTTGGAGCTGTCTGGCCGTTTTTCCTTCTCCACAAGCTCAATGATTTTCTGTAAAGAATAATCATGGACAGGCTGTGAAGCAGAGTGAAAGATAAACAGAATGCGTAGGAAGTGATCTGCTCATTGAGCAACGAACAGAATCACTAGGCCAGACCCAACTCTAGAATGAATGTTGGAGAATATTTTGTAAAAATCGTGATTTGGCCATGAATGGAAAATAATCTAATGACACCTAAACGGAAATCAGAAATATTTTTCGAGGAGAGTAAAGAATCTTCAGTCTCCAACATGACATGATTACTTACAATACGGTCTATTTATTTCTCACACTTGCTTCCTTCTGTCATACTTTGAAACTTACTCTAAAACAACATTAAATTGAATCAGAACTCAATTGCCCAGAAAGGTGCTAATCTCAACAGAGGGAGAAAGCAAAGGAAGAGACTGGAAAATTACCACTGAAAAATCATAGCAATTAATGATAATGGATTGTTCAAAAGATTTGGCCAATAATAAATGCCTGAAATTAAATCAATTCAATTACTGCTCAGTGTATAATTAAATCATCCATTGGCTTGCACATCCACTGTCTGAGAGAATCTTCAGGAACTGGAAACATGTGTCCTGAAGTGGGGTTTGTGCAGTTAGGACACTCATTATCAGCAATTATACAAAACTTTTATCATAGAAAAAACATGCCACAGCATTTCAGAGGCCTCAAGCAGATCATGCCCCCATACAAAGCAGGATAAATGAGCAGAAGTGATCAGAATATAAGTGGCATTAAGTAAAGCAGCAGAGTGAGGCCGAGACAACAACAAGAGTGAGGGAACGGGAAAACTGTACGCTCGGCCACAAGTGGTGCTGGGAAGGAGGATGTGCATGTAACCAGAGTCAGAGCAACTGGGAAATTCAGCTTTTGGAATTGGAGGAGATTACAGAGGCATGGAGGGTCAAACATTTAGAGTATATTTAAACAGGCGGATGGAAATTTTATGCTGAAAGGCTAAAGGTTGGGAGCCATTAGTGTGCAGGTTAGGTGGATTGGCCATGCTAAATTGCCCGTAGTGTTCAGGGAGGTGTAGATTAGGTGGGTCATAGGGGGATGGGTCTGGGTGGGATGCTCTGAGGTTCAGTGTGGACTTGTTGGGCCGAAGGGCCTGTTCCCACACTGTAGGGATTCTATGAGATTACATGTGAACAAGCAAGAATGTAACATTGGAACAGGATCTGAAATTTGGCCAAGGAAATGAAGCAGAACTTTTAAGCTATTCAAGATTAGCAAGCCAGGAGCTAATAAAGGTATATTTGAGTGTTCAACTCATGCTTGTAGAGAGAGGCAAAGTTTGGGGATAGGAAGAGGTGATCTTTGTATTAGACGGTTTATGAACTCAAGAGTTCAGTTCAAATTTGAGCCTTGAAGGACAGACAGCCTGGTCACATGTTTAGAAAATAGTTGACGATGAGAAAGGAATCAAGTGATGGCAGAACAAAATGCATGCTTGGGAGTTTAACTGGAAATAAATGCAAACCAAACTGACAACAGCATTAAGAAGATGTAATAATTTAAAAAGTGGTATAGGCGCACAAAGCTATCAACATTTCATCCCCTAGTCACTTAATTCATTCTCAAATAGAACAATTTAAAAGATGTCTAGA